ACTTCAAGTGTTTTGGAGTACATGTAATTGCTACAGAATCTTTCCAAAAAAATCTAATTAAATACAGTATAACAATACCTTATAAAATTAAAGACACAGTATAGACTATAGCTATAGCCATATAGCCTATAACTATATTTGTTTTATCTGGATTGTCTGAAATACTTTAGCTCGTCAGCTATTGGGTGGATTGCCATGAAAATTTGTGCAGACATTTATCGTTACCGGACAATGAATCCTAATGACTTTAGTGATCCTAACTTTTCTTCTAGCGCCACCATGAGGCTCACTTTTGCGGTTGTGGATTGCCATGGCATTCATGTTCCCGTCAGAACGAACTGTAATAACTTTTGTGATCTTTTGTCTTTTTATATGGCGCCATAATGAAATCAAAATATTAAACTTTGGTTTATGACAAAATTCGGGGAAACGTAATAGCATTCCCATCAGCCTCAGCTGTACTTTGTGTTTAGTGCCAATGTTAGCATGCTAACACGCTAAACTAAGACGGTGAACATGATAAACCTTACCTGGTAAATATCAGTATGTTATTATTGTTATTGTGAGCAATGTGATAGCATGTTAGCATGCTGACATTAGCATTTAGCTAAAAGAAATACTGTTACTGCATCTTTATTTGCGTTCCTCCATACATAATTTGCTATTTTGTGCGCATAAGTGCATTCACACTGGGAAGTATGGCAAAATTCAGTGTATTATGAGTACTCAGATGGTGTACTGATATCACTGGACACTTCTGGACAATGATCGCCATCTTGGCTACACAGTGGAAGGGGAACCGTTGTAATTTATGCGTGTGTTTTTTTCCACGAAGTACCACTATACAGTTGTCGCATAGAAGCAATCAGTATGTCTACTGGGTTAATTTAGTCTGTACTGATTTGGTGCAGAGAGCGGTTGCATTTCGCCATTAAAAAGAAGACGAAGAAGCTGTCAAATGTAATTTCTGGTAAGTGCACAACAGCTATGTTCAATTTGAGACACTGTCCCACTGAAATTCAGTCACTCTCTAGCATATCTGTAGACTCTTCAGTTGAGTTTGTACACATCCAGGTTTGTGGTTACAACATGCCTGACACTATTGAAAAAAAAATTTAAACTATAATAATAGCCTTTCTGAATTTGTCTCTTTCCATATGTCTCCATTACATAAAGGTAGACCTGTTGAATGGTACAGTGGTGGACAGTACACTGCTTCCAGGAGCAGGGCGTCTACCAGTCTACAGCTTGAACCCTAACACCTACCTGGACCTGGCTGTGGATGAACTTGGTCTCTGGGTCATCCATGCTGACGCTGAGTATGGAGGAAACTTGGTCATTACCAAACTGGATAAAGGTAAAGCATACCACCCCTATGCATAGACTTTACTTACCAACAAATCCTCATTCCCAAATGACAAAAGAGGTCGATGGTCAATTGTCCCAAAAAGACATGACCATTCTCCAAAATGACATGTACGAGCGTTGGTACCAGTTCAGCGACCAGAATTTCAGTACGTTACGTAAGTCACCTTTAACACATGGTAAACTACTGGGTTAGGTTTAGGAAAAGATTGTGGTTATATAGATACATAGAATGGTACATTAGCTAAGTCACCTACGAAATGTTATTTAACTTAAATCTTTAAGTAAGTCAACTTTGACTTCTTTCACACAGGACTCAAACCTCGATCTCCTGAATGAAAGTCCTGAGTTTGTTTGACACATCCATCCTTCCCTACCACCTCCTTACACAGACTTTGTCGCTCTCTATGCAACGTCAACTGACTTCTTTGTTTGCTATTGCCATACGGCCACTGGCGGCCACGGGCCTAACAAAACATTTAAATAGGGGTGCTGCATAATCAGTCTATATCGCCATTGTTCTGGTGAGGATGGGTTGTTCATATAGTATATAGGTAATGTAACCTGGTCTATAATTAGCTCATTTCATTTTTTGTTTCTATCTCAGGAACTTTGGCAGTAGATTATACCTGGGATACACAATGCAGAAGCCGTGACGCTGAAGGAGCCTTCCTAATATGTGGAACCCTCTACGTGGTCTACAACACACGATATGGAGGACGCTCCACCATACAGTGTCTCTACGACATCCATGACACCATCCACAGGTTGGATTACACACAGATAGACCATCTAGACACTTAAACAAACATGCATTCTCGTAATTAATCATCCCCACAGACATACATGGAAAAACTGAAACAGGTAAACTAAATGTTCAGTCATAGTGTTAAACACGCATTTTATCCAGATTCACACAAGCATACTTTGCATCCACATCAGTATGGTTTCACAACTGAAGACATGTCTTAATTTGATTAAACATTTTCTCTTTTTTGTACAATCTATTTGCAGTGATGAGAGTCCTGTGATGTTCTTCCCAAAGCGCTACACAAGCCACAGCAGCATCCACTACCACCCCGAAGACAAGCAGCTGTATGCCTGGGACGACGGCTACCAGACAATATACACTGTGGAGACACGCAGAAATGACCAAGTCACTACCGAATGAAGATGATCTACTGCATTCATCCTTTAAAAAGTTGTGGTATCGCTTCAAAATGAATTCCAAATTATGCAATCAACATTAAAAGCATTAATTAAGGAAATTTTCAATTATTGATGAGTAGTTTATAATCTACTGTTGTTCAGTATAGTGATCCTTTGCTGGCAATGGATGCTGCCTTCATCGCTGTTAATCATTATAGACATAACGATCATGTCCAAACAAAGGCATTTTATGCATTATGTAGGCTTTATTTGTTGTATCACCACAATAAAGTGTCATTTAAACATTTAAGTGTCATGTGTATTTATAATTTATAATATTTAAAAAGGCTTGTGGTGTGCTGGTCCAGATGTACTATACAGCTAAGAACCTTTCAGAAAAGCTGGCTCATCGCATACCAGATAAGCAATCACCACATTGTGAACATTTACTGTCTCATGTGAACGTAACATGATATGTTCTGGTACCCTACTAAAACACTGTCTGGACAACTCACATGTGCATGACCTATATACCAGAGACTGTGTAAAACATGGATGTAGTCTCTGTGTCATCTCCCACAGGTTTCTAAAGAACAATTGTGAAGTTTAATGTGGGTGGCCACCTTGGAACATCAGTGGAGCTGAGGTGGGCCCAATGAAGCCTGGTTTTTGCGGCTCTCTTAATTATGCGTAACTTCCAGCCTTAATATAATTTAAATGGCTGAGTTATATAAAAATTCTCCCCAGCACAGTTGTCATGAATGGGGATATTAGCTATAGAGACCAAATCTGTTTTTTGTACCAGGCTGTAAACATGTTTATTTCTGCTGTAAAGTTAGGCATTTTAACAAAGTGGTCTATACGGAGTGACTCACTTTTGGAGCTAGCTTTCAGTGATGTTGTGTATGTTGATTGGTCGAGGGGCTAATTTGGCTCAGCCAGCAGCTTACAAGAATTTGCCAAATTTTAAAATGTATGTAATGTAATGTAAAAAACTATGCTGAACAGGTACTACTACATACAGACAGGTGTTGGTTTTAGCTTGTTTGTAAGAATTCACTATTAACTGAGCTAGGGTGTTGGAGCGTATCAAATACTAGGGTATTTAATAATTTAGCTCATGGGCGCATTACACAGGCGCAGGGGTTTCAGTACCCATCTCTAGCTATTTACCCAAAATGTTTTGTTCACGACATAAAACTAAAATACAATAACATTAAAGTTAGTTACCAGTCCCCTCTGTCTACAGTGCTGTTCTCCTCACATTCCCGAAGATATGAAGTACGGCCAAATGTTGTTGAGTTTTCATCGTTTACCTCTCCTCCTTCTTGCCCTGTTAAACCTGCAGTCTGGGAGTCCCCAGACCAGTTTGGTCAAATGATGATGAGAAACTTTCTCTAAATAAAGACTTAGTCGCCTGTCTCATTATTTTGTGATACTAAGACATTATTATGAGAAAGGATTCCATAGATACTGATGTATGTTAGTATAAAGTAGTGTCCTTGAAAGTTCTCAGTGAGTGTGCATATAGTGTGTGTGTGTGTGTGTGTGTGTGTGTTAGCAGTGTATGTGAAAGCTTTCATTAAATTGAATTCCTTCTGTAAAGTTACTAAACTTTAATCAGGTTGTCCCATTTAGATCAATATCTCTTTTTAAAGCTAGACCGGAGAAGAAAAAACCTTTCATAGTCAGGCAACCATACAACCAGCATACAATAGAGCCAGACAACCAAGAATCAAGAGACAGAACAGAGGTAATGGCATAATCTGAAAGAGGAATTAAATCATTTTAGCTAATAGCTGTTTATAGTTCATTCCCTTTAAAAAGTACATGCAGACCTACCTGAGTTCTGCTGGGAACTAATGTTAAGTAGTCACTGAATTGTGTCTTATAAAACATAAATGAAAGAACAGATGTGAGATTGTTTGGAAGTTTTAACTTACATCTCTAACAAGGTGGTTTATTTATCATTATGCAACACAAGGTCCTTCTTATACACTGTATTATGATATGGAGAGCAGTAATGATAAATAGCTACGAAATTTGTCATAAGTGATAAATATGGGGGTAGTTATGTTTCAATATTATTTGTGTGAACAGATGAGATCTGTGTGTAAATGTAATCGGTAAATATAAAACACTTACAAAAATATTTTGCAAATAGAAAACAAATGCCTGTTTGAAAGTTGTAAATGTTAATGAAGATATTCACAAATGTGGTTAATTTATGTGTAAACTATTAAATATATTCACAGATATTTTTATTATTTCTATATTTTGCAAATAGAAAACAAATTCCACAAATAATATTGAAACATAACTACCCCCATACTTCGCTTTCTATTCGCTGTCCAGTGACTGTGCAGCTGCAACAGAAATCCCCTCTGCTTTGTTTAAACCTCTGACTCATCCCGCCCATTTTCAGTTGACAGTGACGTAAGAAAGGGGCGGGCCGAGTGTGACCGTTGAGTTTGACAGCAACGACTCACTGACCGGGGCATTGTTGTTGACTGACTGCTGGGATTTTTGAAACGGGCGGAAAAGTGTTTAAATAACTGTTTGTTTGTTTTTTATATAACTATGAGGAAGAGAACAAGTAGTAACGCCAGTAGAAGAAGCTCTACAACTAGACGACGCAGTGATAATTTGCGTTGTGATGAATTCGGCTTTGCTCTCACCAAACGAAAGGACCAAAAACTTCATCACCGATGTCATGATTACAGGTGCGGGGCAGGGTAAAGTTAACGTTAACACCGCTCCTGAAAACTAGTTTGCCGTTAGATTTTAGTGAACGTTATCTTGAATCGAATCGACAGTTAGATGAACTTTGCGCGCTTTTATGCAAAATCTTGTAAACAGGTTAATAGTTAACGTTAGCTGTTAGAAAAATTAAATTTATATTAGACTGCTGTGTCATTTTAAGTGTAATTGCTGTCCTGTGAAGAATGAGCTCAACGTGAGAAATTTAGCTTAGGAATATATGACATATTTTGTAGGACCGACTACATTAATGGGGACCAAAAATAAAATAAAAATACATAAAAAAAGATGCTGAATTAGTGCCTTCATGTCAGAATGGACAAACCTTCCAGCAGTATAACTGTAGGTTGTTTATACTGTTAACCAATCCCCACACACCACACCTGAATGATTTCACTTAATTAAAAACATTAGAAAGACCCTCTCTCATAAATACAGGACCACACCAGCATAGACACATTAACTCAGACTGGCTGTGATGACCATCTTACTTTGAATCAGAAGTTGAACACTCAAATGCCAGTGTTTTCTTTTATAGAAAATGCCAGTATCAGCCTGATTCCAGAAACTGATGAATCAGTCGAAGCTCACCATGTTCTGTTGTCTCTGTCAGCTACCCCAAGCTGAGCTCAGTGAGGGTCAAAGAGCTGTGTGAGCTGCTCAGCTACTGGAATGGAGCCAGCTTTATCTGCAAGAGCCAGGTGAGACTCAAAGAAGGTATTGTCAATAATCTACCCTTGTGTTTTTACCATGCAGAAATTGTAATCATGCACCTTGTTTTCCCTCACACTCTTGCTGTGTTTTCAGATTGAGCGATTTATCCGGATGGGTATTCCTCCAAGCCTCCGAGGTAGAGTGTGGAAATGTCTTCTCGCCATTGACAGTCTGAGAGAAAACAGTGACTTCAACTACCAGGTAAAATACAATGAGACGCCTATTGGTAAGACCGACTTATGCCATACTTATGAGTACTGTTGCATACTATAGTATTGCAAAAATGAAGCTTTGAGGTTGTGAGTGTAAACAAAAATATCTTTTCATCAGTGCCACCAGATTTTGTTTCCAAATTTTCCCTTCTACATCTTGACCGGGTTGCTGCACCCCCAAACCCCCTCTCTTTCTAGGTTTATATATATAATTTTATTTATTTATTTATTTGCTCAATGTCCCGCCCACATCACTATCTGATTGGTTACACGGCGTGATTAATAGCCTATCAGCACTTTGCTCCGGAGCTGTGTGTTGAAGAGAAGGCAGCCAATATTACTGAAGGTGCAATAAATGTGTTTCTATGACGACAAGCAGTGCAGTGTCTCTGTTACACCATTGTGAACATGCCCGAAGTCACAGCTACAGAGTTTCACTCAGTAACACTCTTTAAAGTCACTGCTTTTAAACCTGTTGCTCTCCCCTTACCCACTCACTGGGTTTAAACACAGCATGCAATCTATCTTCTTTTCAGTGCAACTTTGCATCTTGAATATGTTGCTAGTTGTTGTTGAAGTGTTAGAGTTGGTTTGATGTTAGAGCTGACTCAGATTCGAACTCTGAACATACGCGGTTACACGGCGGAGCAGCCTCAGCAGACCACCACCTCAGCAAAAGGCTTTCTCCACTACAGTCACACAGTCAAAAATCTTTAAAAAGATCAATCCACAAAAGGCAGCTGGGCCGGACAGGATCAGAGGTAGGGTTCTGAAGGAGAACAACTTAGCCCTGTGTTTAGACAGCTTTTTCAAATGGCCCTGGATTCACACCAGATTCCCAGGGCAAGGAAACTTCACTCATAGTGCCACAACCAAAAATGTCAAAACCATCTGTCTTAAATGATTATCCACCAGTTGCTTAACATCAGTTGTAATGAAGAGTCTTGAGAGGATTGTCTTAAACCATGTCCTTAAGGTAGTGCAACATAAATTGGACCTAGTGGAATATGCATATAGGAAGGAGAGGGGCACAGAGGATGCTCTTTTGTTCATGCTGCATAATATTTATTGTCATCTTGAACGGCCTAATCGATATGTTTGTGTTCTTGTAGATTTTTCATCTGCATTTACTACATTAGACCCCGTATTATGATGGAGAGACTTCTGCAGTTAGGGGTAAATGGTCACATCATCAGATGGTTAGAGTGTCAGAGTAAATGAGGCAGTGTCTTCTCCTTTTATTACTAACACAGGGACTCCACAAGGGAGCACTATTTCCCCAGTCTTATTTACCCTTTATACAAATAAATGTAGAAGCAACACATCTGAGCATGTTACTGTTAAATTTGTTGACAGTAAAGCAGTCGTTGGTTTGATTAAAGAAGACGAGGAACCCAGCTATGGGGGATGGGTTGAGCAGTTTGTGGGGTGGTGTAGGGCAAGTTTTCTTCTGGTGAACACCAAGAAAACAAAATATATAATTTTTTATTTCAGAAATGTTAACAACACCCACCAACCAATTACTATGGATGGAGAGAGTATTGAAATGGTAGATGATTATACTTAGGAACAATGATTGATTCTAAACTGTCATGGTATTTTAATACAGATGTGGTTTATAAGGGCTGCAGTATCTATACAGTATTTTAAGTGGAAGCTGAGACTGTTTTGTGTGGACAGAGATATATTGGTCCTCTTCTATCGCTCCTTTGTGGAAAGCATATTAACTTTTTGTTCCATTGCCTGGTATTTTACATTGTCAGTGAATAATAAAAATAAACTGCATAAGATAGTTAATATGTCCAGTAAGATTGCTGGAGAACAGCAAACTAGCATGACGACGACCTGCGAGTCCTGATTGGTGAGGAAGGGATAGGCGATTATTAGAGATGTATCACATCCCCTGTTTGGCCAGTATGAGCTGTACCATCAGGCAGATGGTATAGGGGTGCCATCTCTCCAAACCAACCAGGCCCGCAGGTCATTTGTGTCTCTGGGTGTCGGGGGGGGGTGCACCTTAGTATAATTTGTTAAGCGCTTGGGTTTGTGTTGGTAATGCAGTTGTCTGGGTGTTTGTTTGTTGTTGGTCTGATTTTTGCTGTATGACACACTATGAATTTCTGAAAGGACTAATAAATATCTATCTGTCTATCTATTGAAATGAACTGGAGAATGTGATTTAGTGACTAATGAAACGAGAGGAAATTCCCAAAAGTATGATGTTGCACTTGAAGCAAACTACTTGATACAGTATCAACCTTTCAGATACTGCGCTGGTTTTGAATCTCCCACAGTGTTTAAAGGCAGAGCTTTAGACCCTCTTTGGATGGTGCCTTTATATAATGACTTTTATTGAAAACAAATATCAATAAAGGCAGCAATGAGACCACTTGTGTTCTGGCCCACAGTTTTATCATGTGTCTTGGATTGAATCCTTCCTATAAATGCAACACCAAGAGTTGGCAAGGAGATGTCGCCATTTTGGCTCAAAGCTTTCCCCCTCCCATCACTACCCGTAACCATGGTTTTATAGTAGTTGAACTAATCCAGGTTGGCTTTAAATTTATTTACTGTATGACTAAATCTGGTTGATAATCCCGCCCCTTGCTCTGTCATTCATTCACAGCAGAAATGTTATTGATTGATTTCTAACTATGGAATGTGTTGGGCTTTCTCCAACAGAAATGCTTGTCAGAGGTGCGAGGCCCCCTGGTGGACTTGGGCGTCAGTGAGTACGGCATCTTGTCGGCAATTGCCACACTGAGTGACACCCAAAATGATCTGGGTCTGAACCATCAGCAACCCTCCAGCTGCCCCAAGCCCAGATACTCTGTAGACGACATCACGCTCTTCAGACAGATCGCCCTGGACTTACGTGAGTTCAGGGGAATGAGGGCTTATAGGCTTAGTTTGTTTTCTGTTGAGAAGTGATATTTTGACTAGTTTTCAGGACTTTAAAACAGGTTAATCAGTCCTTTTAAAATGTTTTAAAATAGGTAAATGTTGACTTTTGCTATTAGATACTTCACTCTTCATCACACAATGCGCCTCTTTTAGTGCACCCCGTCTAGGGTTAGGGTTGAAGATATGAAGTGACCAGAGCACGGCTTAAGAAATGAAGGTAAATGAAAAAGAGACACAGAATCTCTGGGAGCACCAGGTACAAGCAGACTTTAGGTCTCTTGTTGGAGAGGAAATAGAGGCATACTTCATACAGTATTAATTTAATTAATTTGGTCTGTTCCATAGAGCGTTCCTTTCCGACCCACCGCTCTCTGATGGGGGAGAGTCCAGAGGCCATTGAGGGTCAAGCAAAACTCTTCAGAGTCCTCATTGCGTACGCCAAATACAGCCCACAGGTTGGATACAGCCAAGGTAATGGTCTGAATGACTGGAATGTTACTATTTTCATTCATACAACACATATTATCTGAAAACAGTGTAAAGTGCTCCTCTTTCTTTGCTTCCCAGCAAATAACATTGAAGTGATTATTATCAGGTCTCATTCTGGATGCCAACGGGGGAGACGTGTCTTGTCATTAGAGTGTAACACAGTGTTTCAGTCGTCCCACACTTTTTCAGTAGTTTAATGAAGTCCGCAATACATAATGTGACCACTTGATGGAAGCAGAGGACTATAATAGAACGAGTTACTGCATTATACCCTTCTCTCATGAAAGTCTTTTTAACATTATTAACCAGACATTTTCTATGCCATTATGTATTAAGGTGTATTTGGATGTATTTAAAATATTTGAAAAAGGTGAGAATTGGATATGTTAAACTATCATTAGCAGTACAAGCATTTCTTCTTTTTTTTGTTGGAACTATGGATTCTCAGCAGCTCTTTAGTGTTTATTCCCATTTACCTCTTAAAATATTAGGTTAAGATCAGAAAAGGTTGTTTTCACCATGTACGATCTCTGGTTATTGTCAACCGCAGTAGAGATCGACGATATGTTTTTTTCCGGGCCGATCCCGATATTATTAGTAACCAATTAGACAGATATTTGGAACCGATATAACTCCAACACAAAACTTGTTAACTATGATTGATAAATAAAGTTTGTCTTTACCGGCTGACATTTATATTGTATTTATTTGATATTAGGATTTTATTAATACATTTATTGATACTATTTATTTGTTCTGTTCTTTATCTATACTAGGCCTGAACGATTAATTGCATTTGCAATATTATCGCAATATGATAAAACGAGATTTTCTAATCGCAAAGGCTGCGATTTCGCTCTGTAATGTAGTGCATCAAACACCCATTCCCTTAGGGGTGGGAGAATTAATCGATTCTTAGATGCATCGCGATGCGGACGTGGAAGATTATGAATCACACACTGTGAGCATGGTGATGCTCGGCAGCTCTCCGTGTATCTTGTGTGTGTGAGGCCAAACGAATGAGAGAGAGAGAGTGGCAGAACACGACGCTGAAAGTTAGCGGAGAAATATATTAGCAGTAACTTTCTGTCTGGTGGTAAACGTGCAGCGTAGGTCACTGTGTGTCAATAAAAGTTAATGAAAGTCTCTAGTTTCCCCAGCGGCTGGAAAAGTGAAGGCTTTCAGCACTAGCTAACATCTCCCCTGTACAAGGGCCTGCTCTCTTTGGGCCTTCAGCATCACAGCCCTCACCCTCTGGAACTCATCCCCATAGAGATCCAAAATTCTCCCTGTCTGGACACTTTAAAAAATCTACTAAAAACCAAGCTCTTTACCAAGGCATTCACTCCTGAATGACTTTTCGTCCTTCTGTCACTGTAACTATGTGTAAAGCGTCCTTGGGTCCTGTGAAAGGCGCTAAAAATATTTATTTATTTATGTAATGTTCGCTAAATTAGTAATGAAGTAATATTAATCATTGGCTGTATGTCAGTACTAAGTAACCTACTAGTCAAGGGTTAAGAACATCTGGTACAAGCTTAGACAAAACTGGTGTACAGCTCTATCCTGTACACATACTGTACATCCTGATTATTATTTTTCAGTTTTCAGAGGAGTCTGACAGCTGGTTGTTAAAGAAATGAAGGACCATGGAGCTGAGGTTTATAAAGTAAATTAGGGATGCAAACTAGTCCTTTTAAGCTAATTAGGAGATGTTTCTTTTGGATTTTAATGCGCAAATTAAATGCTTAGTAATTATCCAGGGATCCTGTATAGAAAAAAATGATGCATCAAGATGCATCGATAATCGTTTTTTATAATCGAATCGCAGCCCTCTGAATCGTAATCGAATCATGAGGTGCCTAGAGATTCCCACCCCTACATTCCATACCGTAGGAAATGCAGCATTTAAAAAAATCTTTGTGTGTGTGTGTGTGTTTCTCACAGGGATGTCCTACATAGCTGCGGTGCTGCTGATGCAGTTGGGAGAGGAGGAGGCGTTTTGGGCTCTGACAGCCTTGTTGGACAAACCCAAATATCTGGCAGAACTGTTTGACCTCAACCTCACCAAGTAAGAATGGGCTCAAACTATATAATAAATAAAACTATAAACTGAATGCACACAGAATAAAAATATACTCCAAATAATCTAAACTAATAATACAACACCAATAACAAATAATACTCTCTTGGTGTCATGTGTGTATGGTCAAATAATACTATGCAGTATATTAATGTTTTAAATTCCCAATATACTGACTTTCTGCAGATGCATCTGAAAATCGGCCAAGGTGGTCCCTGAAACAAAATTCCTATATAATTGCCAAATTCTGTTGCTGTTTTCCTGGGCTTGGTGATCTGTGGCACAGCTACACAAAACTAAACAAGGCTGTTATTCTTGGTCTAATCAGGGTCCAGCATCAGGTGAAGGTGTTTGACCAGTTCCTGAAACACAGGAAGCCACAGCTCTCTCAGCACATGGTGAGTGAGTGCTTTTGGATTACATTTCAGGTCAGATTTTCACTCTCTGGATTTGTACGTAGAAGAAATTCTCTGTCAAATGACACGGTATTCACTTTACTGTGGTACTGCTCGAGAGCGGACACTGAAAACTAGGAGGAAAGTATAGTGCTTCTGTTTGTACTGGACTTTTTTGAGACTCTCAAAGGGAAAATGCTTTTAAAAACGATGACATGAATGGTCTTGAACATGCGTGTGCGTGCGTGCATGTGTGTGCGTGTATTTGTGTTTCAGGCCAGATATGGCATGGCGATGAGTAGTTCATCTGCGAGGGAGAGGCCACTGTAATGTATCCATCATCAACTGGGCCTCTTCTGTCATTCAGTCAGTCACGAGGGGGGCACAAGCCTACAGCTGTGTAATTTTCTCCCTCTGTCCCTACTGTTACTGAACTATTTTCACTAAGTGCAGGAGTTCAGATACCACCATGTCAGGGCTAAATGTATACAAACATGGGGAGAAGAAATCTGGCAAAAACAAAAAGGAAGAAAGATTGTAAATGTGAAATATTAGTTTAATTTGTCTAAAAGTAACTGGTCACAGATGAGATGGGTTAGCCTATATTGCCATTACATATTGAAAGTGAAAGATTCTTTGAACACTGATCTGAACAAGGTGGAAAATTAAAATTCATTATTTCTGTGCTGTCCTTTATGTCATGGTTTGCGACAAACATGATTAATGAAGTTCATGTTGCAGATTTAGATTTGATCAGAATTGAGGACGGAGCTTTAATTAAAAACCTTTTTTGATAATATTTTTGCATTTTATGAATATATTTCTCAAAGAAAACTCACGCTACCAAAAAAGTTTATGTATTGCCGTTCGGTGGTAGAAAAAAAATTCTAAAATATTTCTAAAGCATGGAAAAAGAGGAGAGAAATCCTCGTACTTTATTTTGCATGGATTACAGACTATTTATGATCTAAATCAATATTTTAATCAACTATGCAAAAATGTTGATTTTGTTTTGTTTCAGATATGTTTTTTTAATGATGATGTACTTGTGAGGCTGAGTGTTTGTATTTATTTAATTCCCGCTGTGGGACATCTCATGGGACATTATCTGGAGGCTGTTAGTATAGTTAGTTAGCAGGTTAGTCTATTGTGCTGTTAGATGCTGGTGGGTTTACATAGCAAACTCTTTGCTGCTGTTTATTAATGTGTCTGACATGAAAATAAATCTGTTCATACAGTAAAGTGTTAATTCCCTTAATAGGAAAGTGTTTATGTTCTTTATTTAAGAAAAATGAAGAGAATTTTGAGACGTCTATTCTGGTATTTTATGTATTTTACCTCTGGTGTCTTGACTCCGATGTTGAACTGTGTTATTGTAAGACCACCTAATTCTATCATTTACCAAAAAATGTTTTGTTTAAATCTAAGCTCCCTGTCCTGTGTAGCACAGTGGGTCTCATTCCTCCCTTCACAAGCCTTCACATTCATACCCCACCCCCGCACCCACCACGCGTAAACAGATTGAGTGCTTATCAATCATGAACAATATTGGGGGAGCAACATAAAAAAAGGAGCCCAATTTAATTTGATTGAAATAAAAGAAAAGATTGAGATCAGCAATCTGGTTTTTTTTGTTGTTCTCTTTTATATCCCTACATAAATCCTGTTTATTCAGTTTAGTCCAACTCTATATTTTCCCACTGTTGATCCACACCCCCGTTAGAGACCCACTAGTGTAGCCTAAAGCTGTTTAGTGGCTGAAATTTCAATGTTGGGGTTAGCGGGGGTATATTTCTATTTTTAGTAGGTTAGGTTATTTCTTATTTAACCAATTTAATTCTATTTCATTCTCCCCTTTATTTTAGTTTACTCACTAGCCTACTTCAATGTGCTCTCTTTTCCTCACACACCTACACCTCTGCTGCAAACCAGCGGCTTCCCTTCCTGTCTCTCTCCCTCATGTTTTATGAAGATGCCGAAATGACACAGAACTTGCGATTTCTACCCATGATTCTGTTTTCAGCTGCAGGTGCGCCAAACGCATAGGAGGCTTGTTAATGTCGAAACCAACGTCCTTGTCCATGCTTGTAAAATATCCAGTGTCCGCTCAGGATGAGTATCGCTACTCAATACCTTTATGGTATCGACTGAAACAGCCCAGTATCCAGTAGAATCGAAACATCTCCAGTCAAACCAGTGCTTCAATCGATACCTAGGCCTACTTTTTGTAAACAGATTGCGGCAAAAAATTGCTATTTGTATGGTTTTGCTTGCAGCCAAACACGCAAACAACACACTGAAAGAAAGAGAGGAGCATGTATTTTTTTTTTCAGGGCCTGCCCTGACAATGTTGGAGACCTAGGCGAGATTTTAAATTAGTGCCCCCCTATGCCCAACCCTTAAAAGTCCCCCTCAGGGGTTGGGGGTCATCGCTACCCTATCCTCAAGAATTATGTTTTAAACGTTCAGCAGCCAAACTCACTATTTTAGCATGTATTGATGAACAGCCAAGTCAGAAATTATGGTCATCATAGTAAGGGTGATCAGCATACTTGTCAACCTCAACAGCATAGCCTAAATTAGGAGACCAAACCTATATGTGTTCCTCCTAAACTGTGAGTCAACCCAGCAACTGTTTTCTTACATTATGGGGTAGATCTCCTGAAATGTAACAGCATTGTTTTAGTTTCAATGGTGGAGGGGGGGTGTCTGCCTTTTCTGCCTCAAGTTATGGTGGAAATGTCTTAATTTATGTAAAGAGACACAAAATTCAGGCAGCAGGTGACAGTTCAAAATATACAACATTAATAGAATATAATGCAGTAAGGCTTTCAGGCATTCTGTCGCGATTGCTTTTAAATATATTTCTCCTGTAGAGCAACTTTTCTAATTTAATAAAATCCCTGCTGAGTCAGCACACATGCAGGCATGATTCAGTCTTCCCTCCTCTTTTGTGTCTTTTGCATGGGGATGTGCATGCGGCACCTTTTCACCTCAAATAACTTATAACAAAGTCTATTAAATTAATGAATTAAAGTCATAAATTCTTGGATTCTTCAATACAAAAACCTGCCGTGTTTAAGCAGGTTTTTTGCTCATGTTTAAAATGTTCTGCACATTCAGAATCTCTCCCACATCTGTGTTCTCTGACATGTCCAGAAAAAAGACATAATATAACGTCATCATTTGATGAGACTTAATCTATATTACTTTTTGCTCCAATGGAATTATCCCCTTTAGACTATTTTGGCATGTTGGATGTGAAACCGAAACCAACTGAAAAAAAACTCAAATCCACACGCGTCAACTTCAGCAGCTCCGCTAAAGTGCAGCTCACAGTCCAGGCTGTGCCTCAGGTTTTAGATGTTTATATTGCAAAACGCTACACAAGGACACGACTAGTCACAACTGTCTGGACTATGCCGGTGTCAGAGGTGATTTGTGCAAAGTCGAAAACGTTCTCTTGTGGCGCCCCCTGACATTTTGCGCCCTAGGCAACAGCCTATGTCGCCTATGCCACAGGCCGGTCCTGTTTTTTTTTTTCTTACGAGACTGCACCATAAACTGTGTTTTTAAAAAAAAAGGCCTGCTCGTGGCGAGTCTATGCATGAATTTAACAGCCGCTCACCGTCGGCTGCGGTCTCAGGCATGTTCGTCACTGTTGCAAGTTTATCACCACAAGCTTGGCTTTCCGTTGGTTTCATCTTCTAGTGTCATTTAACACTTCTCTGTACATTTTTATTTGCTATTTACATCACTTGTGTTCCATCAGCAGAGATCAGCTGATTTTACTCACGTAGCCTCCATCTGCTCCGTTGTTTACTAGAGGTGCTCCGATCATTATTTTTTGGGCTGATCACCGATCACTGGGTATATTTTAAGCTTTTTATTTATCTTGTAGCATTAATAAATAAATATACAGTATACTGTATAAGTCCTAAAAGCAATGTATTGAGTATTAAAATTAACAGATTATAAAGTATCATGAAATGACAACTGTTAATTTTATTTCCAGGAAACATGGGCAACAAATTCCGCTCCCTCTGTCTTAGAGACTTAAACCATAAAAGCCTTTGCCTGGTTACTGCGACCATCTTATAGCTTAACAAATACAATCTTTAGAAATTTACTTCAACTAAGAAGGCTGCAGCCAAAATATTTAGGAGGTAAAGGAGCACAGGCCCTAACCCTGAGTCCATGATAAACTCTGAAGTAGACGCTTTTTGTTGTGGAAAGCGCAGGCAGGTTCTGTGGGCTTTAGGGGAGAGAGAGACAAGCAGAGAGAGGGAGAGTGGGCTACAGAGAGGAGTCTTAACTGTCATCAATGAATTTTGAAAATAAGGGAAATTTAAATAAATAACAGTACAATGTTAATTCCATATTATACTGTTAGTATATTGTTAATATTACTTTTAGTTACTATATTCATTATAATTTCTTATGGTTTATTTATTGGCCTAGTATTATTTCAGTGGGTTGTTTTCATTTATTAAATCTTTGTGCAAGAAGTCTGCATCTTTTACATAGGCTTTCTGCCACAGGCCTTACCAGAGGAGAGAGAAGCAAACACTTTAAATACGGCCAGCAGGTTTTTATTTGAATTTATAAAAGTTAAAAAGACGGGAGATTTACGGGGAAACATTGAAACAGGAGGATACCAGGTGAGAACGGAAAAATATGGGAGAATCCTGTGGAAAACGGGAGGGCTGACATGAGAGGAGTAGAGAGAGGAGTAGGGTAATGTTAGGCTACATCCCCACAACTGTTTTTTTTTAAAACAGTTTTATATTGAATACGATCTTCTCCGTCCACAGCAGCGTTTTACGATCGGTGACCCATTGATCGGAGCACCCGTACTATACTTTCAGCACATCAAAAAAACACCTTATATTTGTTTCCCACAACTTATTTGGCCAGTAAATTATTTCACTCCTCCTCTCTCATTCAAACATTTAAAAAACTTCCAAACTGTAGTCTTTTCCATTTATAGGCTAATACTAATTAGCCTAATTAGGAGGAGGAGCGATCTCATACAATTTGCCAATATTTTTATTTAACAGTTATTTGAAACAAGAAAAGAAAATACATCACCTTGCATGTCGATGACAACAATAAAAATAATAATTGGCTACCAATCAACTACTATGGCTTCAACAGGTGGCATTTTATGCAAGGTATTGAATGAAGTAATCAATTGGTATCAGTATCACTTTAAGGTTACTGGTTACCTTATATATATACCCAACCCTGGTGTCTGCGTCTTATGACATAACAGATCTCTCTCTGTGTTTCTCTGAAAAATGTTAAAGGGGTCGGCCCGCCCAAGTAAATTCTATATGTGGGAAACACTGCATAATATTTTGTACAGGCATTTTTGTCCACCACAGGATGAATTGTAATATCTCTTAACTTTTCATTTAGCACTATCATCATATTTACATTTATTCATTTAGCGACTTACTCATCAGGTCAAATTTGTCCAAAAGCTTGACAAATGACATTCCCATCCTCATCAGCTGTACTTTGTCTCATGCTAATTCCCAAATGCTAGAAGGCTTTCATTCTAAACTAAGGTGACCACAGTAAACCTGCTTATCATCAGTGTGTTAGCATTGTCATTGTGAGCATGTTAGCATGCTTAAGTCAAGATTTAGCTCAAAAGTACCACTGTGCTTAAGCACAGCCTCATAAAGCTAGTGTTTTCTCAGTAACGGTTTTGAAAATAGCCAGCATTCTTCTGAGCATACTTCTTAGCCATGTTAAAGTTGCAACTTGGTTCTCTTCTGTTTAAAATCGAAGTGTGTGTGTGTGTGTGTTTGCACACTCTGATGCATTCACTGCTACTGTTTGTGCTGCTTAAGTGTCTTTGAAGATATTGTTATACTTCACGTCGACTCAGCAGGTCTGGGAGGAAAGCTGCCCATTTGGAGCCAACACACACATACACACACCGCAGGGGCTTATTGTAGACACAATAGTTTTACTCCCTTACAGAAAAAAAACTATTAGAGATCAGTGGTCAGCATTTCCTTTGTAATACAGCTGTTCAGCAGAGTTAAGGCAAGTAAGCTGTAAACAGATTTTTGTACTTGTACTAAACATGAAAGATACATAATAATATTATTGTGTAGGAAGTGTCCACAGTAACGAGCAGTGAACATGACACACCAGAATGTGTTACAAATTACAAATGCATTGTTCCTCAGATGCTGGGAAGCTGATGGTTGTGCATTAGTAACACCATTAAAGAAATTCAATTTAGGAAACTCATTAAACCAACATTAACGTTTCAACATTAACTAAGTTGCATACGTCGTGGATGGATGTTTCAGTTAGTGGGTCAGTAAAGGAGAATAGCTGACAGAAATTGGCAGGGAAACAAGTCTTGAATACATTGTTTGCTGATGCCAAATCAACCCTCCCTGTTTTCCCAACCTCCCCGCAGGAGTCAGTGGGAGTCTTATCAGTCCACTTTGTGATGCCATGGTTCCTCACTCTCTTCACTTCCCTGCCCTGCTGGGACTCTGTCCTGGCTGTCTGGGATCTCGTCATTCTGCACGGTATGAGTGTGTGTGTGTGTGTGTGTGTGTGTACGCATGTTCACTTTCTCACATTCACTCAGTTGGGAGGGAGCAATACAGTAGTTGTAATAAATTGTCTTTAATGTCCAAGACAGTAGTTTTTAGACAATACAACAAGACAATTAGGGTTGGGCCGATAGACAAATTTTCACCACCCTGTGAAAGCAGCTTTTAATGACTACATACATTCTTATTATTGTTTTTAAGTGTGCTTTGCACCTGCCTCAGAATTCTCTTCTCCACATGCCTGACACACTCACACACACCTACACCTCAAATGTAGGTGTGTGTGAGTGGCTTGCCCCGCCTCTCTCTGTCTCTGTCCCCCCGTCTGCTCCATTTTCTCCGTCAGCAGTATGTTTTATAAAGTTGCCTAAAAGACTGAGAAATCATCTTTTTTCCGTGTATTTCCACCGGCGATCCGTTACCACGGCAGCAGGTGAGCCGCACGTCGGCTTATTAATGACAACTGAAACCAACATCTGCACCCTGTGTGTTCAATACTGCTTTACCTGGTCCGTGCGTAAAATATCCACTGCTACTTGTAACGTAAGTTAATAGTCTACCAATTTTTTTTTTACCAAGTGAAGTTTGTGCGAAAACACATGTATGCACATAAGACGACTTCTACCCCCCAACGCATGTGCGCGCCCACGACACACCCCAACCCTAAAGACAATACCTCTTTTCTGTGACTTTTTGTTTTATTAATATGGGCAAACTTCATCTGTGTCACTTCCTGTGTCAGTGAAAATATTAGTGGGCTATTTGGACTGGTGTAATCTGTTGATATGTCACTCATTAATTGCTTTTCATCTTATCTCTTTTACACCTACTTTATATTAACAAAGCATTGATGTATGTAACAGCAGTGATTTTGCATTATCTCCCCAGGCCTGTCAGCTGTGTTCCGCACTGCTCTGACCATCATTGAGCTCCTGGAGCCTCGACTGATGGACCTGAATGATGAGGGAGCAGTGTTACCCCTGATGTTGAGGGTACCTGTTGATGTGTAAGTAAAGTGAAGTTGATCATGGGACAGCATCATTAATGCACACTATCTGGAGTGACATAGTGTTGAGTCTGTGCTGACAGAAAGACATATCTTCTGAGTGGCTTATAACATTTAGCATTTTCATCCTCACGTGTGCCACTGTTCATAAGCCACATTTTATTTAGCAAAAATTGTGATATTGTCTGAGACATACATCCATGAATATTGTTCCAGACCACCCCCAGGAATGAGCCTTCTGAAGAATGTGCAGCACAGTTCTCAGAGCTGTGAGCTCAGTTTTTAGACTTTGTCCCAAATAAAACCCCAGGCAGCTTATGAATATCAATCAGCTCATCAGGACTGGACATGTTTAGACACCAAGCATTCCAGGAAACGTAGAGTGTCATTGTTTTGCTGTGCTTGTTTTTGTACATGTTTGGATTAAACATCCTTTATGCTAAATTAGTTTCTTCAATGGCAGCCCACGCTGCTTTCAGTTGAACCCCCTGTCTGTCTCTCACTGTGCTGAATATAAACGTCACATGCCGACGGACATGTTTTGTTGACATGGAGCTGTAGTTATGGCAACTCAGCAGGGTCACTGAGTTTGTGTATACTGCCACTGTGTGTGTGTGACAGACTGTCGCACAGTGATTATTATAATCCAGTTTATCATATTTGTTTTAATAGATAAGCTCCCTTCACCTACTTAAATTTCATACTTGTGTGCTTCTCATTGTAGAAAAGGTCCCTCTGTTTTGACCTACGTTTGTTTACCTTGGACAAAGATCTGTGCAGTAGACTCTGGATAAATGGAGGCTACACAGCCAAGTAGTTTCCATAAATGTAGCTGTGTCACAGGCAGTGATAAAGCACTTTATCATGAGGCAGAGGGGGGAGAAGGCTTGCTAGGTACGCACCAATGATTTGCAAAGTGAATTATGAAGGACAAATCTTTAGGATTATTGTGGGAAACAGCTAAACAACCGTTTAACTGACCATTTGATTTGTTTAATGCTTTATTTTACATACATTTTACACGGAGCATTCATAACCACTCAATGGCACAAGTGGGTTCTAAGCTGTGTTTTCTGTGCTACAAGGAAAGAAACAGCACATTTTGATCCATGTGTGAACCCCTTCTTCTGTTTGTATATGCATGCATCAAGGACAGTACTGACAGTCCCATTTTGTTCTAGCTCTGGTGTTCAGTGGGCAGCCTGCCATCACGTCACATTGAGAAGTCCTTGTTGCCTGCTTGGCATCATTATGAAAGCCTGGTCAGAAGTCAACACTAAGTGGTCCGACTGTCTCCCAGGGCAGGATCCCCTTACACTGGGAAGATACTGTTGAAGAAAGAAGGGAAGAGAACAAGTGGGATAAGGAAAGGAGGGAAAGGAAGATGAATGAAGGGTCAGAGAGAAGCAGCTAGAGAATAAAATGGCAGTGCACTTCTTGGGGAGGGGGGGTAGAAAGAGAGGGAGAAATGAAGGAGGGGAGCGAGGAGAGATCTTCAACCCCTCTTAATTTTCCTTAAGATCTCTGTGAATGGTGTAATGCAGCCATATAGGCCATTCTGATTAACGGCTGGTTGAGAGGCTCATCCATCTCATTTGTCTTTCTGTCTACACTGAGCTGTCAGTCAGATTGTCACCTCAGTCATAGGTTGCAACAACGACTCCCAGCACACCCTACGTCACCAGTGAAAGAGCAGCTTCACACCCTGTCTGTCTCTTATTCTAACACTTTGGTGGTGTTCCTTTCCCCCAATGTGATTTTAGCCATGCAGTATGGGAATCTATGATAGGGCTGAACAATTTGGGGGAGAAAAAAATCTAATTGCGATTTTTCTGCCAGATATTGCGATCACAATTCGGTTTGCGATATTTAAAAAAAAAAAAAAATTAATTTAGCTAAAGTTCAATATTCACTGTCTATTTTTGACGGAAGCTGCGTCAAACAGCACAGAGCAGATGAACCGGGCAGGAAGTCACACAGAACGTCATAGAGAATCCGGTCGATTTTCAAAATAAACAACGTAGGGTAGCTAAACGCTCCACTGCTGAAACACTTCAGTGTGAGTTGACGCCAGGAAAAAAACCGCTTCCTGTGTCTGTTCGCCTGCCGCCATTATCCCATGTATTCCTCTAGTTTTGTTTGTTGTTGTAAAATGTACACGTCCAGTGGCGCATGGCACTTGTGATTAGTTAACAAATCTGTCACACAAGAATGACAACGGAATAAATTTGTAACTGCACAAGTGTTTAAAACGGGCTGTGTAACTAATCTACATTTAACCGCCGTCTTCACGATTAGCTAATCGCATTCTTTCAAATCGCAATGTTGATTTGAAAACAATTAATCGTTCAGCCCTAATCTAGGGTCAGCCTGTCTGTTGGTTGGTCGGTTAAGCAGTACACCACTTTGGTCTAGACAGAAATATATCAACAACTATTGGATGGAGTACCCAGAGTATAAACAACGACTTTGGTGATTTCTTGACTTTTCCTCTAGTGCCACCAGTAGGTGGACATTTGTGGTTTTGACAGACATGTGTCGGCAACTATTCCAACTACTAACTACTATAGCCGTACAGTGTGGTACACACATTCACGTCCCACTCACAATGAACTGTAATCACTTTGGTGAACCCTTAACTTTCCGTCTAGTGCCATCATCAGGTCTGCCACAGCCCAGGCTCAGTGCGCTAGACAAAGGAGGAGGCCACACAGGGTTTAAAGTAATTTCAACAATATTTTGGATTAATAACAATGTAATAGTTTGTATTCTGTAAGTCAGTGGTTGTTGCATTGTTGAATGTATGTGTGGTGAAGGCAAACAAACAGCAAAACCAAACCAAATAGGGAGATGATGATGGTTTGAGAGAATGACACAGAATGAGGGGCTAGCTTAAGTAACCGAGGCCCAGCCTACCCAGGTGCAAAACATCAGCTTAAATGTCTCCCCCCATCTCTACTTGCAGACATCCTGCAAAGGGAATAAAACACAAGACAGAAGTGGGAGCACTGGCAGAGACAGAGCCGCTCGGTATTTCAGTTTGTCCAAAACTTATATATGCAAATCCAGTGTTGTCTATTAAACACTTGAAGCATAAAAACACTTGGTTTTATTTTTGTTGGCCAACTTTTCAGTTGAACCTCAAACTGAGTATTTTTTTAGGTTTTTGAGATAGACTCATTAATTGGTGGTTGAACTGTGGGTTTGTATTGAGCATTTAATGTATAACACACTGTCGTGAACTTTGTTTTTCTTGTGGTCTGTAGGTAGGCCGACCTGATGATATCATATTATTTAATGACATGACTCTCAAATTATCTTTCTCTTATTATAATTTGATACTTCTTCTCCACCACTGCTCATAATAATTCATGCAATTCTTGCATCATTAATATTTTGTTGGTCATACTATACACTAATTTATTACTTGTCCATTTTGAATAAGGATGTAAAGAGCTTAAAAATTAATCGCATAATAAATCTCAATGGCAATATTGGTTAAAAAAATTTTTGATTATTTTCCATTTTTTCATAATTCTTGTCTAGCAGCTACAGTGGCACAGCCACAAAAACACCGGTGGAAAACCACACTAAGCTGCACTGTGTGTGACGTCTTGTCACACACAGTGCTGCCTCCCCTCTACCCCACCCCAATTGTTAGCTACACTCCAGGCAGTCAATGGACATAAAGTTGTTACTGTGATGTAGAGACAGAGCTCAGTTAAAACTTTATGGATGAAAGATCATCCATAAAGTGTTACAAATTAATAACTTACCACTCTGAAACTCTTGCTTCAGTCTAGGTTGCAAAGCTGGTTCGGGAACATGTACAGCTGAAGCCCTGGTTACTGGCTTGTCAGGACCCACCCTACTCTGCTTCTGATTGGCTAATACTCCTTCCCTAGGTTCTGCGCATACATAGATCAAATTCAAGTGAGATGCTTCACTCCATAGCTAAAACGGAGCGGTCAACACAGGGTGAAAAGAGGTGCTGCAGCAATGTCCAGTATAACAAAAAATATGGTGTTTTTTGAAAATGAAACCATGTAAACCTGTTCTGGTACAACCCCTAAATAGAATTATGAACCTGAAAATGAGCAGAATATAACCTCTTTAAAGATGATGATGAAAACATAGACTAAGTATTGTATTGCGGTAAAAAAAACAACTCATTAGTTCCACTAACCCTTCTACTGACTTATTTTCCTATCACTTTCAGTACCTATATTTCATTGTCTGTCTGTCTCCCCCCTCTATACCCTCTCCTTCTCACTGCCAATACACACTGTTTGTTGTAATGCCCTCCACCAGTCCTAACGCTTTCGCTTTTGTTTACCCCCTCCTTCGCAAAACTCAATTCCCATAAACCTCCAAGGGCTGTCTCTCCTCCCCTGTGTTCTCATTTTCTCTTTTCTGCACCCCCCTCTCCTTCTATATGCCTCTTTTCATTCATTCATTTATCCTCATTGACACACTGACACCCTCGTTCAGCTAGAGGGGTTGACACATCATTTGTTTACTTCACACTGACAAGGCTGGCTTCAGTAAAGTCTCTGCTTTAGTTTTTCCCTTCTCTTTCAACCATTTAAAAATTCCCATAAGCATTCAAACTGAGGGTCACTCAGTGGTTCCCTCTTGCTTGTGTTGCTCATTCTTTTGACATGATATGCATTGTAGATTGTTCTACTTCCCATTTAGCTGTCTTAAATACGTCCATGTCTTTCCCTAAGCAAACTGAAAATTGATTTCAGATGATCATTTGAAATCAGATCTGTTTTAACATCTTGTAATGTAGACCTACCTCTAAGCTGTACAAAGCACACATTTAAGCAGATCAAGTCAAGAAACTTGAACTGTTTAAATATGCACAGAACACTGGCTTTGGTACTATAGAGACTTAAAATGTCTTGTTGACATGGACAAAATTCTGCTATAGTGGTCAAGAGATGTTGTGCAATCAAGTGCACAGATTCAAAAAGAATTCAGGGATAGCAAGATTTACAGACTGCTGCATGCTAAAGAAAAGATCAAGGCTGTTTCTCAATCTGTGTTCTTGTCTGTACTTGTGTTCTTGTGGACTTGTGAAACGTTATAATTCGCAGCCAAAGTTCTGTTCCAATTCAAAAGTCCGCATCTAGCCAAGTACAGTCCAATACCCGGAGGTGTTCTCGCTCCGTCCGTTTTACCGAGCCTGCATCGGTGGTGACTTGTGTCGATTTCGGATCACCAGATATCCCAGAATGCATTTCACCGCCAAAAAGCGGATATGTCGGACGAGAAAACTCAGAACTGTAACTTATAATACTGCTGTTCTTGTGTCACATATAGTAGTTTTAAGAGTGTTTTATGCTAGTTGCTAGTTGTTTAAACTACAAATATGTGGTTGTTTTCTCAAGACAGAGCTGATTTTAAAATTTGCTACAACGTTTTCGGAGATGTGAGGTCCCGCCCGCTAACGGGTCCAGCCATTATCAAGTCCGCTGTTGTTCCAATTGCTGAAAGACGGACTGCGTGCTCCCGTTCCTTGGAGTTTGTACTCCCGAGCCGAACTTGCCAAGTCCAAGCTTTAAAGTACAGAAATCCAAACTTGGCGAACTCGGTATTGAGAAACAGCCCAAGTGTTAAGTATAGGCTGACTTATAACCTATACTTTCTAAGGCATCTTTAACTAACCTGACCAGAAATTAATCTAATTGAAAGTGTTACATTCCTTGTAATTCCTCATCATTCTGAGAAGCAACAAGCGACATTTTTTAGGCAACTTTAACTGACCAGACACGTATGAAATGCGAAAGGCAAACAAAATGAAATCAAACTGTTAGATGGCCAGAATAGCCTTTGATGTATTTTACTTTCCTAAAGTTAAGCTACTTACATGCTGTATATACTTGTACTAGTCATTTCGACCCACAAGCATGTGAATAGGCCTATAGAGCCCATGTTTAAAAATACCAAAATTTCCCTTTAAGAATAAAGATTTTCTCCATTAATCAATTAATAGTTTTGATTTGTAAATATTCGGAAAATAGTGAGAAATGCCATCAGTTACCCAGAGCCAACCTCATAATTATTAGCAGTAAATTAAAGTTATTCAAAAGAAAAGAAGCAAATCTTCACATTTGTAAAGCTGGAACCACGAAATGGACTGAAGGTAAATTTAGATTCATGATTCCGATTTAAATACAGCATAGTCCAAAAATAAAGAGAGGCTGGATGACTAGAGTTGTCCAGCGGTTGCCTGCATGTACTAACAAATGGTTTACTGCAGTGGTTCTCAAATGTTTTCACATCAAGGACACCTTAACTGACAGAAATTAGGCCATGGACCCCAATTTCAATAGATTTTGTCTCAGGATGGCCCATCTGATAGTATTGTGGCTTTTAGATTTCATTACAGAAAGTGTGTCAAACATATGACCAAAATAGTCATACGTTCTGTAACTGTAGTACTTATGGATGGAATTATAGTGAAAAGAAATTGGTCACCATTTTGCTGCGGACCCCTGGGGGTCCCCCGACCCCACTTTGAGAACCACTGGTTTTGTGTATGTTGGATTTTGACCAGTAACATGTCTGCATCTGTGAATTGCTTGCTGCGATCAGGAAATTTGTGCACATCCTTCATTCCTCTTCACCTATGATTGTTCTATTTTCATTCTCTCCCAGGCACTCTGTCTGTTGCTGTCTACGGCCATCTATCATTCTATGCTGGGATGGATAGCTCAGCCATGTGATTTATCCCAATTACATATCCCTCTGTCTCTGTCTTCTCTTCCTCATCAGTTTCTCTGATCCTCCATCATTCTCACCTCATGTTAATGTTGCATTATATTCACCTGCATACAGAAAGGATAGCTCCACACATTTTCAAGTCTGGCTTAAAGCAAAAAGCAGGTGACAAAATGAACACTGAACCCGTTTTTTCCTACAGTTAAGATTGGCCATTAAGGCCTTTTCTAAAGCTATTTCAATGTGAATGAAGGGGGACAAACTTGACAGACCTCATTCTGTGCAACAACACATTCGTAAATTCATACATTCAGAAACTTAAACAAGTTTCTTCCTCTTTTATTCCTATTTTCTTTTCCTCCTCGCTGGCTCAGCATAGAAATTCTGTCCGGGGAAACACAAAGAGGAAAGATCTCCACTTGATTTGTTCAATTCAGACTTGTTGGGGACTGATAATAACAGCAATAGCTGTCAGTGCATATTATAACAAATTAAAACAATATGCTAAACTTTTTTTTTGGTTTTCACTAGGGATGAGGATTGATACCTGGTTCTAAAAGGACCCGGTTCCAAATTTCTCAAAACCCAAAAACTAATCCAAACTAATGTTATTTAGTGATGGCACCGAAACGTGCTATTAAACGGGGCCGGGACGGTTTAGAGGCCAGCAGAAAGAGAGACGCTTTGTTGTTGAGACTGTGAAGTTAAGTTAGCTTCAAGTGACTCGAGTTGCCGACAGCCACTCTTGTTCATGTAAGTACGTGCAATAAAACCTTTGTGAGTAAAAAGACAATACTTTACTAATACACCTATGGTGTTGTGTACTTGTAGAAAGAGTTCCTTTAAACTGCTCTGTCCCCAGTCTCTCCTTCTACCAGTTACAGTGGATAGAAAAAGTCTGCACACCCCTGTTAAAATGCCAGGTTCTTATGATGTAAAATAATGAGACAAAGATGAATCATGTCTGAACTTTTTCCACCTTTAATGTGACCTATAATGTGAACAATTCAATAGAAAAACAAACTGAAATCTTCGAGGGGGAAAAATGAAAAATAAAAACCTTACAATAACCTGGTTGCATAAGTGTGCACACCCTCTTATAACTGGGGATGTGGCTGTGTTCAGAATTAACCAATCACACATTCAAACTCAGGTTAAATAGAAGTCATTACACACCTACCATCATTTAGAGTGACTCTGATTAATCAGAAATAAAGTTCAGCTGTTCTAGTAGGATTTTCCTGATATTTTCTTATTTGCATCTCCGAGCAAAAGCCATGGTCCGCAGAAAGCTTTCAAAGCATCAGAGAGATCTCATTGTTGAAAGACATAAGTCAGGAGACGGGTACAAAAGAATTTCCAAAGCATTAGATATACCCTGGAACACAGTGAAGACAGTCATTATCAAGTGGAGAAAATATGGCACAACAGTGACTTTAGCAAGAACTGGATGTCCCTCCAAAATTGATGAATAGATGAAAAGAAAACTGGTCAGGGAGGCTTCCAAGAGGCCTACAGCAACATTAAAGGAACTGCAGGTATTTCTGGCAAGTACTGGCTGTGTGGTACATGTGACAACTATCTCCCGTATTCTTCATCTGAATGGGCTATGGGGTAGGGTGGCAAGACGGAAGCCTTTTCTTACAAAGAAAAACATCCAAGCCCGGCTGAAGTTTGCAAAAACAAACATCAAGTCTCCCAAAAGCATGTGGGAAAATGTGTTATGGACTGATGAAACCAAGGTAGAACTTTTTGGCCATAATTCCAAAAGGTATGTTTGGCGGAAAAACAACACTAGACATCACCCAAGGAACAGCATACCCACAGTGAAGCATGGTGGTGGCAGCATCATGCTTTGGGGCGGTTTTTCTTCAGCTTGAACCGGGCCTTATTCAGGGTGGTTCCAGTTCCAAATACCAGGCAATTTTGGCACAAAACCTTTAGGCGTCGGTTAGAAAGCTGAAGATGAAGAGGAAGTTCACCTTTCAGCACGACAACGACCCAAAGCACACATCCAAATCCACAAAGCATGGCTTCACCAGAAGAAGATCAATGTTTTGGAACGGCCCAGCCAGAGCCCAGACCTGAATCCAATTGAACATCTGTGGGGTGAGGTGAAGAGGGCTGAGCACAGGCGATGTCCTCGCAATCTGACAGATTTGGAGCGCTTTTGCAAAGAAGAGTGGGCAAATATTGCCACGTCAAGATGTGCCATGCTAATAGACTCCTAGAATTATTAGTTATTGTAAGGTTTTTATTTAAATTTTTCCCCCCTCGGAGGATTTCAGTTTTTGTTTTCAATTGAATTGGTCACATTATACGTCACATTAAATTTGGAAAAAGTTCTGACATAACTTATCTTTGTCTCATTATTTTACATCATAAAAACCTGGCATTTTAACAGGGGTATATAGACTTTTTCTATCCACTATAACGTTACCTGCAGGCAGTAAATGGCAGTAGAGAGAGGAGGAGTAAGGACTGATACAGACTGATGTCTGAGTTTGTATTCTTTCTAAACATGAACCTCAGTATTGTGATGTCAGATATTGAGTTTAGTTGCTGCTCTAGAAACATGTATTTAAAATATTAAATTCTAATCCTGTATTTAAAAGGCCTACCTCATGCCCGTTGGTTCTCTTCTTATAACCGTCACCAACGTGGGTGGAGCTAGACTTTCAGCACACGCTGAGAGGGGCAGGCTACACGCGCCTCTGCTCAAATGCTGAAATGAGAGGCTTCCAGTGGAAGTTGACGCCGTAAATAAACCACTGCGCACAAGCAGCCTACGTCTGCATGTTTGTTAAAATGTGCTAATAAGTTTGCCATTTGTTTGAAATACAAATGTTACTTTATGATTTATGTTTATTAAAATGTGTCTCCTTAGCATATAGTGTTTTTGTTTGTAGTTGTCATTCTTGTGGTGGTTTACCATTGAAACCAGGAGCGAAGGGACTGTTTCATTTGATAAGAGCTGCCAAGTAATTGTAAAATATCAATAGTGGTATCGATAAAGACTCGGATTGTTAAGCAGTCTCGATAATGATATCAATAAAAATTAACGATCCACATCCCTAGTTTTTACATTTCATTCAGAAATCATATTATGCCCCCGAATGTTTTTCAAGTGTGTTTTTGTTGGGTTTTTTTCTTCAACTTTTTATGTTGTGAAATCTGTAGCCATTTTAATACCCCCCTCCTCCACTCTTCCCACCCTCTCTCTATCCTCCACACCCCACTTCCATCTGCAGGGCCCAGTACACCGTGTTGGTCCCTGCCCTGTGGAAGACTGAGGTCCAAGACTGGGAGCTTAAATGTATGAACAGTCTGGTGTTGGAGGAGTGCCACAATGTACCCGAAGCAGGTACCACAACACAAACAAACACAGACACACACACAAATCAGCTGTTCGTAAGCAAAACCTAATAAATGCAAAGGGACACTGGGGAACACTCAGCACACAGTCGCTCAAACTCATTCAGTCTACATCACTTAACCTTAAGTGACACACATGCTGATCCTGTTACACACATACACACACAGTTTTGTTCTCCGGTCTTAATGTCGAGGTGGTTAGACACTGGGTAAGACATCTCTAGCTTGTTCCTGAGAACAGAAGGTGAAAACAGTCACTGCTTGTTCACCTCCTACCCTTAGTTTCTTCTGTTTACAGCTTGCTGGTACATTTACATGCTTTAATTCTTTAATAAGCACATTTCCATGTTATTTTTATTATTATATTTTTGCCATTTTACAATTGAATGAGCTTTTTGTAGGAAGCAACCCGGAGCGCTTTGTCAAGAGCACATATCCTGTTTGTCCCCAAGCCTGATATATTAGGATGGTCGACACGGGGAACGTGTTTCTGTTAGTTGTAGTTCCTTAATAGTGATTTTAAATGTTTCATCGCTGCTGTCATGGTAACGTATCGTTACACCATGCATTATCGTTCAGCCAATTTATATTTTCTGGTTACTTTAATGGCCACACATGTGTGAGAAAATGGCTTAAACTAACGTTACATACTGTTGTTAAAATGATTTACCTCACCCCACACTGATGCAAAAATACATTTGCCAGTAATTATCTTACTGCATATTTCTAAATATGTCAGAATGACAGAAGCTGAAGGTGTCCATTAGCAAGAAGTGGTAAGTGAAGAAATAGTTCTCTAATTCTGTTCACACATCTCAGTCCCCAAGCACTATCAAACATACTGACTTTGCTCTGTCTCATAACAACAAAAAATCAACTTCACTCTGCACTTAAGACGGAGTTCATGTAACTGGCTGCCTGCGTGCGTGCGTGCGTGCGTGCGTGCGTGCCTGCGTGCCTGCGTGCGTGCGTGCGTCTACTAACTTGACAGATCAAAGGAGCTTTTATCTTTTGAAGGTTGTTCAGATATCACCTACACAAGATCTGAAAACCCCTCACCACTGGAGTCTCATCCTCACAAAAGACAGACAGATTGGAATGCAAACCTGAAGTGCACATAGTGCAAGTGTATGTGTGTGTGTGTTCATGGCTGTGAGTGTGCACATAATGCTTGTGTCTGTGCGTGCATCCTGACAGACTACAAGGATGAGTCACGGGTTGGTGGCTGCAGGGCTGTGTTTGTCAGTGCAGCTGGGAAGGCATAAAGAAGTGGGGCAAGAAAAACAGATGGGGGGTGTGTGAGAGAGAGAGAGAGAGAGAGTGAGTTAGTGTGCATGAAAGAATGAGTTGTGTAAGTGAGTATTTGCGAAAAGGGGAGAAGAATCTGAAAGAGCATGAGAGGTTTCCTTTCAGGGCAATTGGAAGCCACAAAAGCATGTTTTACGGTGGGGATAATCCATCCCCCGTGTGTGTGTGTGTGCCTACCTGTGTGTCTGTATGTGTGGCGGTGTGTGAGTCAGGATGAGTCATCCTTATTTGCTGGCCTGTCAGACTGTCTAGCTCTCAAGGCAGCAGAGGAAACGAGCTGATTCATTATCTGCCTCTCCGACACAATCCAGCAGTCCCGTATTTTCTCCCTCACACACACTTTCACTCACTCTCTCTGTCACCAACACCCAGCACCATCATGGTGGTGTTACACATCTTGTGGCATGTGTTCCCCGCTCCCATTAACAGTTCAGGACCTTCTACTCCTGAAACCAAACACATGTTGTTAGTGCTGTTGACAATAATAAGTAACGTTTGTTTTTTATAATTTGTGAGGCTTCTCAAACCAGGGACACATAAGAGGTGGAAGCGCCGCGATGTTCTGCCCACTTCCTTTCATCACCCAAGTTAACCAGTTGAGCTGTTAAGAAGCTCCACGGCTGGCTGCAGCAATTCTTTCAGCATCTGTTTTCTGTGCGAGAGAAGCAGACACACACAGGCAGGAAAGAAGCCCCTCCCCCGCAGGTCATCACACAATGCAGTGCAGAAGAAGAAGCGACCCCTGCTAATCCAGGAACACATAAAAAGCTTAACATTATAAATTCATGAGGTTATTGTAAAGATCAGCTCTACCTGTGATCAGAAAGGACAGAGGAACAGAATCTTCTCCTCCAAAAGTTCTGCTTGTGTGAACCGCCAGGCTACTGCTCACCTGAGAACTGACCTATTAGCTGCTGCGTAACACATCCGCATCTCAGACCAAACTGTTAGTGATCCAGCTGTATTGTGGATAATGAAGATGGCAGGTTTTGAGAGGGAGGAGAATGTGTGGGATCAAAAAGACAATAACTCAATAACTATGTGTCAGTTTTTACCTTTTTTAAAAAAAGTTAGTATGACGAAGTTAAGATTTTTACAGGACAGACCACAACAGGTGTTTTTAAATGATTTTAAATCCAGCAAAGTTGGTTATAAACAAAATACAAGGTAGATTTTTTTTCACATTACAAAAGGTTGTAGAGTGAAATTGAGTTTGTATCTCCCTTCTGCTACATAGCAGACAATATACAGTAAAAGCAATTATAAAAATGGTCAACAGAAATCAACTATCTTCAGTGGAGCAGTGCTGAGGATGAATTTGAGTATAAAGTCTGATAGCTTGGGGTTAAAAGCTGCTCTGCAGTCTGGTGGTATGGCAGCAGAAACTCCCATATCTCTTCCCAGAAGGCAACAGGGTGAACAGGCTGTGGCTGGGTGGGTACTGTCCTTTAGTGTCCTTTGGGCTCTGCAGAGGCACCTCACCTCACCAATGTCACTGATGCTCAGGAGAGTTTTAATCACCCGCTGCAGAGCCGTACACATCCTATGCCAGTTAGTGATCTTTCTAGTCAGGATGCTTTCTGTTGCTTGGCACAGGGATTTGGCCTTCTTATGCTTCCTTAAGAAATACAGGCTTTTTTGAGCTTTCTTCACCACCATTTCAGGTTCTCTGTGATGCTGATTCCCAGGAACCTGAAACTGTTCACCTGCTCTACCTCAGCACCACCGATGTAGACAGGAGCGTGTGTCGTTATCTCCTTCTTCCTGAAATGAACGATCAGAATATTTCAGTATAAGGAGCAAAGCAAAAGCCTCTTGCTTTTAATGGTTTGATCATTTAGTCTGTATGGGCTGATAAAAAGGCTTTGGTTATTGAAATATTAAAAGACTTAGTAGTACAGCTTTGTCACAATATTTTTTGTCTATAAATGCTGTACATGTATGTTTTGACATGAAGCTGTCATGGTGGTACAGTTACTAAAAAGATTTCATGGGGTGCATTACTCTGGCAAGAGTTGTGAATGATATTGTTGTAGAGGGTTTCAGCTATAACAGTAGGGTCTCTGGGGCCCGTCCAACAGCAGGCTGAGTCAGCAATAAAGAACAGAGTTGAGGTGACTTCAGGTTATGCTGAGTCAGCCTGAGAAGCTCTGAGAACAGATAGTTGTGTCCTTCAGTCCTTCTGCGGGTTACTTTCCTATTGAATACCTCTTGTTTTTCCTCTCCCCGCCTCTCCTTTACCTTTCCCCTAATCTTAACACCTTACTTATCCCTCTTTGCCCTTCCCCACCCATACATTAACCACATTTTTTATTTAGCTCTTTTTTTGCCCCCTTTTCACTATTTCCTCTTTTTTCGGCCCTCCATTGTTTCCCTTTCTTCTCCTTTCTGACTTTCTGTTCCCTCTCCTGCCCTCTCCTTTTTCTGTGACTCCTCGGGTGTTGTAGCAGATGCCAAAGTCCTGTTCTCCTCAGCAGGCTCCCATGATACCTACCTACAGTACTTCCTGCCCGCAAGCTGCTCAAGCCTTAGTGCAGTGACTCAGCATTCATTTATTCATTGCCCCCAAAACAGCCTCCTACAGCCTTCGTCCTTTATGATGGTTTATGATATAATGTTGTGTATATGCTCTGACAGCCCTGGCTCTGTACAGTTTTGTGCAGTGTCATTTATTGATGTATTGGACAGGCAGGATGACCAGGTGGTAATTTAGGTTGTCCATCAACTAGCGGCTACATACTTGTCAAAGTATACAAACTAAATACAAATTACACAGACATATAAATATATATCTATACATACTGTGTATGAATTTGACAGAAATAATTGTCTGCTTTGCTACACTTTATCACAGCTATATAGTGCTTATTTAAAATTAACCCCTTGCTTGACGTA